ATAGTTGCTATCATTTACTAATCTTTTGTTCTATATAAATTATCATATTAACACTTGATTATTTTTTGCCTTCGCCACCCCATACGGAAAGATAACGAGTTAAAAAAACGAGAAAATTATGTTTATGGTAGGCAAATAGACAATTTAATAGATGATACTCTTGTAAAACTGTGTTAATTACCTTGTAATAATTTATATATATATATATCATAATCAGTTAGATACAATGAAATTACTAAGTGGATAAAAGTTACCGTTTTATGCACAATGTAATCTATTGACTAAGTTTGGAAAATTAAGGAGTTTCGTTACAGAGATTATATGAATAGTAATTTTCTTCACAAATTGAGATCACCATGTGAAGAATTTATGAGAAAACCAGGTGTGCATTGAATAGTTGTGTTTGTAATGTAATATATATGATCAGTGAGTTAGTCATAATTAAATGGGACTATACGTGCATTGATTCAAGTTGTCACATGAAATCACCACAGTGAAGTGAAATGATCGAGATAAATATCAAAGTAATGAAAGTAGTAACATTATCAATGGTAGTAAAAAAGACTAGGGACAGGTAAAAGATTAGAGAAAAAAGAATGAAATTACTAAATACAGGTATGAATTAATTTCACAACTGAATATCTAGGGAAAGATAAAGAGTGCATCTGTCTCAGTGTAACGGATTCAGAAAACCACTAGTTACGATAATCGTAGGGACCTCAACTTGGTATTTTGCTCCTAACAATATAACTCAGTCCTACAGTCAAAGATTAAGACTTTCTCTGACCATTCTCGGATTTTTTCCAACCTACTTCTATATCTGGCAACATAGGAATATTGGGTAGTTGAATATACATAATACTTGTCCTAACAGATTAGGCTGAATCCAAGTTATTTTTAAGGCACTGAATTCGAATCTGGTAATCTACATTCTCAACTTTAGTCGGTGATCTTTTTAAATGCCATCAGTGATTTAATCTCAACTCCAATGTAATTCATTAACCACACAAATCATCCTTTTTAAACTGGGATACAATATTATTGTAATGTTGTATAGAATAAATGGATTGTAGGTAGAACTGAGATTCAAAACACTCATTTCATTCTATTTGGGACGAGTCAACTGGATGTATTTATATTACCATGTTGATGTTCATACAGGGACTCGAAGGTATTAGTTTCCACTTCAAACATCAATATATTATTCGTTGTTCAACAAGAAAATATAAACCTTTATACATGACAGATAGCCACTGAATATTTTTCGAATCAATTTCATTCACTAAAACAAAAGATTTATAAATTAAAATAAATACTACGAAATACTACTCAATTCATTTTAATATCAGAAGTAAAAGGAAATTTTTAATTAATCAACCTGATTTTTCTTATTCCCATTAAACTACTAATGAAAACTACTTGCTAATTCGCCGAAAACAAAACTCTTCGTTGAACTAATCTATCTTATTAATTCGCTTGATGTTGTTTTTACTTGAATATTCCCATTGGTGTTTAGGACTGAAATTGATCAGTCTCTTATTGGCATATGTGCATACTGTGAGTGTTGCCTCGATATTGCCTTAAATTACAATTATAAGCAAAGATGGATAATGGTTAGCAGTGGAATCCAGGACGCGCGTTTCGTCCTATTTGGGACTCGTCAGCTGGATGCAGCTGCATCTCAGAGTTGATGTTCAATCCGGGACTCGAACCCAGTATCGTTCACTTCAAACGCCATCGCGTTATCCACTCAGCTACTGAGTCCTGATAGCCACTTGCTTATGCAATGCTTGTAAATTAAAGCAATACACACAGTATGCGCATATGCCAATAAGAGACTGATCAATTTCAGTCTTAAATATCCATGGGAATATTCAAGTAAAAACAATACCAAGCGAATTAAACTTCACCCAATTGCACAACTTAGTAGCTACCACGACTCAGTAACTAAGTGGATAACGCGATGGCGTTTGAAGCGAACGATACTGGGTTTGAGTCCCGGAGTGAACATCAACTCTGAGATGCAGCTGACGAGTCCCAAATAGGACGAAACGCGCGTCCTGGATTCCACTGCTAGCCACTAGCCATGATTGCTTATAATCTTCCTTATTTATTTATTTTCGTTGTTGATTATTTAAGTAAATAATACAGATTTAAAAATCGTTTAATTTCCACTGAGATAGTTTATAATCTGTTTACTTTAAATGTATAGAAAAAAAGGGAGAAAATTAAGTTTACAACTTGGGAGGAAACAATATCTATTTACTTTGAAAATGACAATTCAATGAAACATAAATAATTCCAGATATTACGAACTTAAGAATGAAGAGAATTTTTCGGTGTACCGTGTACACTTGTATTTATGTGGCGAGAAAAATGAACACGTTTAAAGGCAACAGGTATAGTTGAAAAGAAAAGGGTGTAAAGAATAAACATTGGTGTCGAATTTCTCAGCGATATATTTGTAAATACATTGAAATTGAATGAAAATACAGTCAGTCTTTACAAAGAAAAATCTGCGTGTTAACTATTGTTCGTTTCCTGGTATATTTGTTCGAAAAAAATAAAGAAACCAAGTACGATAGCTGAAAATTACCATTTAGTCAAATGTTTTTGTAATGAAGCTTGTGTTACCCTATGTAAACAAAATTATTAACATTAAATATTAACAGAAAACAATTTATATATATTTATATTTTCTCGTTGCTGATATTGACGATTGTATATGATTTTTAGTCACAATCCAACTTTCCGAAAGGAGGTTTTTGAAGATTTTTTTAGTTATAACGTCTTAGTTTGTCCTGATGACATTGTTTTTAACTTACAAACCTCAAGAATATCATTATTTACATTCATTTGTCCATTGGTTTATTTGTTAAGTTGATCTGTAATCATATGGTTGACTGATGGAATCTATGTTATTTATGTAAGAGTCAGGCTTCTGAGAATTTTCCGAAATTCCTAATTTTCATTGAAAATATGGACATTCTATCCAGTCAATAATCTAGAACGAATACTTAGGTTTTTGAATTTATCGCTGATTATGGTATCTAGAATAATGACCAAAGTTTAACCATTAAACCAATCTGTTTAGATGAGACAACATTACCAGATATACTCGCCTGAGCTACTAATGTTTTGTATGAGTTCAGTGGTCTAAAGTTTAAGCAGTCACCATAAAACCTCAAGATCCGGGGTTCGATAACTAGTTTGGTTGTAGATGCGATATACTGAGGAGTAGTCCCATAGTAGAACAAAAGAGATATGCAGTGCTTCTTGGTTTCTAATTAGTGCCTAACCATGGTCAGTTCGTTATGCAAACTATAGAATACAACAAAATTTATTCATTTCCTCTACAAAGTATCGTGTAATTATACTTGGAATTTACATAATTCCTAGTTGCAGCTTTGCCACCAAAACATTGAATCTAATGATTAAAACTAACAATTTTAGTACAAAACAATTCTTTATATTGATATCAGTTTTTAGTTGACACTATAAGCACCAGTATCTTTATAATGGAATTTTATATCTTAAAACATGATTCATTGTTTACTAAATTGTCAGGCAGAGGTATCCACTATTAGTTAGTTTATTTAAAAAATTATATATACGAGTGCCGACATTATTGTTCCTCGATATTGTCATCGTCAACTCATAAAAATAGTATTTCCTAGAATAACTTAACCATGTATGTAATTGTTGTTATATATATTCAATAGTTTTGATAAAAGATTGAAATTACCTAGATAGTCAAAATGATAATCTGTGCATAAAACGGATTCACAAATCATGAAAACAAAAATATTCCAAAATAGATTTGAACAACTAGTTAAATAATTTAGTGACAGTAGGAGATTCAAATTTCGTCTACACAACAACAATCATAATCAAGTTGATAGACTTTCCACGAATGATACTAATGATAGTCTAATCAGTGTACATCTCCATTACAGTTTATATTTGATGATTTCCTGTTACTTAATTCTTAAATAAACATTTGAATATTTATCAATTTTGTTGATTTAGTAATTCGAACTGACTTATTGTTTAAATGAGAATTCGTTCATCCCACCTATCTATCTACAATTATAATAAGTAAATTTATATCATTCTTAGTTTTTGATTGAGATCATGAACCGACTGATGTCAGACGACCGTTCCGTCCTATTTTAGGACTCCTCAGCAGTACACAGTGCAGTTTATCAAGTACATGAATGGTTTCAAAGTATTTTCTGTTACCTTTGGGATCACCTTGAAAATCATGAAGTACTGAACAGTTATTTTGTTTTACTTTAGAATGCCTCATAAATAAACACCTATGATCCTATCAAATATTTAACTAGATACCTTTTAAAGTCTTATGGTGAGTGTTTTTTTTTAAACCCACCAAATGGAATTCCATAATTCATATTTCTTATCTTGGTCAACTTACGAAATAATATGACATCCACCTAATACGATCGGTGAATACTTATTTAGCTTATCTTTCTCTATATTGCAAACCAATTGTGAATAGAACAATATATATAAACTTTTTAAACATAATATTAATGACGGATTATTCGTTGCATAATGTTAATAACACATTAAATAATACTATAATTTATATTTGCATTATATAAACCAATGTATATATTAGAAAAATAATTACATCTAATTATATAAATACATAATAGAATATCCCTTTTTTAAGAAAAGAAAGGAATTTTGATAAACAAGATACTATTAAAAGAGACAAATAAACATTTAAACAGATACAATATAGGTCAATAAAAAGTTGGCAGAGACAAACAAGGAAAACGGGGAAAAAAGAACTGATCCTAATCTGTCAATAAATCTATCATTCAGATTATATATATATATATGCCTAATAAAACAAATCAACTTTAGAAGAAAATAAGATAATAATAATAATGGTGATGAAAAAATAATAAATAGTTATATCATTTATAAATGTTTCTAATTGAGGTTTATCAATGAGTGTTCTTGGATATTTTTCAGAACTGTAATAATGATTGAAATGTAGTTGATCCAGTTGTATTAACAAATACAGATGTTTGTAATGGAAAATGATGATGATTGTGTTGATAATTGTTATGAGATTGTTGAACGCGTGTACGAATTTCTTCGACTGACGAATTACATACTACATTATTATTATTATTATTATTATTATTATTATTATTATTATTATTATTATTATTATCAATCTTCCCATCATACTGATCAAAATGTTGTATTGATGATTGATAACTTATATGATTATTAATCCATAAATGTTGATTAGAATTTTGTAGAAATTCTGAAGGTTTCGGTAAATGAGCAAATAGACTAGATAGAATTCTAGCCGGTTCTTGAATGGATCGGATTGTTTCATTTGAATAAAAACAATTTATTGGATCCATTTTAGTTTTCTGTGATTGCTGTTTTTGTTGTTGTGGTGGTGGTGACAATTGTAACTGATTTGGTTGACTAGAACCATTTTTATTCATAAAAGATAATTGAAATGAATTTGATGATTTATTCAAACAATGAAATGATGTTGATGATGACAATTCATCTAGTCGTGGATTAGATAGTGTACTTGCAGACAAATTATTATTATTATTCAATTGTTTTGTTATTGGACTACTTTCAGCTGTTGGACGCTCTGTCTCGTTATCGTCATCATTTGTAATATCATTAATAACTTGATGAATATCATTTAAAGTTGATTCTATGGCATTACCATAATTATTATTAGGCTGATGAAAGTTATATGGGATATTTGTTGGAGAATAGTTGGTTGGTGTTAGATTAGGATGAATTTCTGACGTTTGCACTACATCGGTAGTTGTCTGTCCACCTAATAATTAAAGAAAAAAACAATTAAGTGAGATATGTTATTTAGAGATAACAGAAATAAAACTAGATTTTGTTTATTTATAAAAAACCATGTAATACTATATGATTTATTAGTTGAAAGTTATAATCTAAGTGTGAAGATATTTTAATCTTTTAGAAGTAAGTTTTTTCACTTTATCAACCCAATTCACTTGATGTATAGTTATCACATATATCAGTTATGAGTATTTACTGCCAAGTAGTCTTGAATAGGAGGAAGTAATCGTTTGGTGTCTTTCAGTTTCATTGATTATTCAACCGATTTTAGTTAACTAAAAAGTATCTTCGAACTATACTACATCTTCAATGAATCAATTTTCTTAATAATAATAATAGTATTAATAACTTACTCAATAGTGATTATCTTAAAGATAGACTTTTGGAAATCTTGATAGGAATCTCGCAAATCGTAAAATCATTAGAAGTTAGATAGTAATACTCCAACAAAAATCGAATGATAATTTTTAATTGACTTCAAATTGGAAGTTTGCGTGAACTGTGCTAAATAATGAAATACCATCAGTTAATACTATCTAGTTTTTGGTGATTTTCTAATATTGATTTAATCTAATCATTAAAAATATTGATTGTAATCAGTATTTACATTTACATTAGAACGTGAATAATTGAACTTTTGATTGATGAAAAAGTAAATTAATGACACTGAAAACTTAAGGTGAAGGTTGAAGATAATTGACAAGAAACTGACTACCTGGGTTTCATATGGCCTGATAATCATCAGCAAGGTGTACCTATGATCTTTATGGAACTGATGGTCCCTGTTGATGTTATTTCCGTGTCATCCAGCTTCACTGTCAAATGAGGCTCGAATGACTTAATAATAAGGTCTCTGGATTTGAACCTTGGTTACACTGTATGTACACCACCAGGGATCATCAGTTCTCTAAAGATTACCCCAGGTCACAACATACTGCGCGTCATGTCCAATCACTTAGACTAGTGACCACATTTTAATCTAATCGATTAGGACTAAAAATGGCTTGACATACTTGGCTTTGGTTCTTAGTCAATGATTAATCAATTATAAATGCATCGAAAATATGCGTTGAAACAATTAGCAATTCGTAAGTTTCCATAGTACAGTGATTGACAAAATCTTCAATCTGATCTTTAAGTAGATGTACCCTATCACTTTTGGAATCCTATTCAAACGTTTGGGTCACCATTTCTTTCCAACTGTACATATAGTGCAATTTATCTTCCAGTTCTGGTCTTGTTTGGAATAAATAGTTGTGAATTCTAAATTTATATACTCTTGGGTTATAAAAGGGGTTAACAATCATTACAATTATGAAGGCTGGAAAACTCAAACAGAAACATTTCTGTCATTGGGATATTTTTCTCCTTGAAGAAAGAAAAAGAGAATACATCGGAACTCATGCATCCGATATATGGTAGGTGGAAAAGATGGTTAATAATATTGAACTGGTAGGAGATTTTCACAAATGAAAATGAGCGACAGATACACTGACTATTGCAAAACATTAATCAAACTTTTTTTCAACTCATTACCATTTGAAAGCATACTAGACGGAAATTTACTATAATACTGCCCAATCAGTTCTAGGAATTCCTTACCGTAGTAGTATGGTATAGTTCTGGATAAGACTTCTATTGTTACTATTAATTTTATTGTTATTATTATTATCATTGGAAAATTCAAATCTTTTTAGTGATTCACCATATGAGTAATATCATCTTTCATAAAAACTATCTTCAAGTAATATCTTCTACATATTTTTCCAGTTAAAAAACACTTACTAGATACTGGTATGGATTCGTACTGACCTTTTTGATCCCATATTCTGTCTTCTTTGATTTGACCACTTAACTGATGAGAATAATTACTATCACGTTGATTTATTGATTTGTCCGATGATTTACTTAATATCTGGTCTGTTAATAATTGTAAATCAATATTTTCTGATGATTGTTGATTAAAATGCTGCCAATCCATAACAATTACATCTTCAACAGCTTGTCTCCGCTTTAATGCAACTTGTGCAGCCATTACGCGTTGACGTTCAACAATCAATATACATTGTGGACATTTGCAATCACGATACGCACAGTTACGTTTATGACCTTTTACCCAAGCAATTAATCCATGATTACGGCATCGTGCACATTTAGGCCGTCTTAATCCAACAATATTTAGTTGAGTATTATTATCATTATTACTGGTGTTACACTTGGTTGTAATCGTTTTTGAAGATTTAATTAATCTTGCGATTCGTCTGACTGTTATCGGATCCAAATTTGTCAATGAATTAATTGACTGATGTAAAACAATGGGAATCTCTTCAGTACCATTCGACATCATTTTCGTTTCAATGAAGAGATTCAATTCCAAAGTTCAAATCGTTATGAATTAAAGATATATTGGTTGTGTTTGATCCAATTTGTAGTGTTCAGCGATTGGTAAAACGCTTAAATATGACGTTAAGAGTAAATTTCCCAGCTTGTAATTAAATTCCGATTGGGTAATTTTGACCAACCAATCAAATTAAAACTTTTCAAAATAAAATTCCTATCCCTTGCAAGAGGGGAAAAATATTGTCTACAGTATCGGTATAGATTTTGCTGCCATGGTAGGATTAGCATAAAGTTACTGCACTTTTTAATTTCTTAAAAATAGAAAAATAACTCATTGCGTCACTAACACAAATCGTCTTGTCAACGGTTTCATTTACTTAAACTGTACAATTGTATTGATAAATAATTTTAGATATGATAGTCTATAATAAAATGGAAGGATGTTGCAATATTTAATAAAGTAATCAAACATTATCAATTTAAGTATGAAATATAATTACTTTGGAGTTTCATGGAGATTTCTCAATTTTAAGGTTGCTGTCATGGGACGATCGTAATTAAACAATCATTTATGGCCGGGTAACACTGGATAGTCTTTTCGTCCAATATAGGACTTCACAGTATTGAGCATCCACGATTATATTATTATGGGTTGACCCAGGACCTTGGATCTCGCGCTCTGTCGCTTAACCTTTAGACCACTGAGTTGGCATCCAGTGATTTTTATGTTTAACCCCAATCCATTCGTAATTATATTCAACCATCTTCTAATGTATTCGATGGGTAACAGTCTTTCAAAATTAGTCACTAGTGCATATATAGTTATTAATTATTATAAGGGGTTTATGAAGATGTCTGAATTGTTATAGTTACCATCGAGGACTTATATCTGTTAAAGAATTGATTCATGTTTAACATGTAAACCATTGGCTTCCCTTTTTGGTGGTCTAGATGTTGAGCACTCGTAAGTGAGACAGAGGGGCTTGGGTTTTATGTCTGGTAGTGGGGTTATGGATGCTCACTGGTAAAGAGTTACAAACTATGACAAAACAACTTTCTAGATCTTAACTATTGTTTAATTAAAAATACTCCTTCATGCTAACTATAAAAGTATCAAATATAAGTTATAAAGTAGTCTTAGAGGCAATAAGAAATAATAATTTATAGCAGGAGTGCGAACAATATTATGAATATGAAAAATGTGAAGAGTAAGATAACAGCTGATACTAAAGATGTATAAAAATAGTTGTGCTGAAGTTAAGACAGACTCGTTTGTTTACAAACGTCAAGTTTAAGCCGTTCAGTGCTTCCAGGGTTTCCATGGTGGTCTAGCTTCAATGGACTCATGATTTCAACTTGTGAAATTTCTAAAAATCTCCACAAAACCCATTCTGATAATTCTTCATTTGAACAAATAATAAAGTAATTTCAATAGTTAAAATCATGAGTCAATCGAAGGTAGACCACCATGCGAAACCTGGAAGCACTGGACGGCCGTTTCGTCCTACTGTGGGACTCTTCAGCAGTGCGCATTTGTGGATAAGTATATGATTATGAAAGGGATTAGGGGAATGCGATTATTCGGTTGAAAGTTAACTTTCTCGCCACGAGTCTTTAATTTAAATTATTGATGTGGTCGTACTTGTGCACCGTTAAGGTATCTCGAAGCTGAAACGAATCAACTGTTTATTACTGGATAAGTTTTAATGGTGTCAGTTATAGAATGAACAATTTTCATTCATCATGGTTAGTGACTAGTAACTGGTCTGGACGAAAGAATATTGCTAAAGTTAATCAATGTTTCTATTTTTATATTTTATGCAAATTTATTCAAATGACATAGGAACACTGACCTATTGTAAGTTATTTTCTCTCTCTCTCTCTCTCTCTCTCTCTCTCTATATATATATATATATATATATATATATATATATCCAAAAACGTTTTACTGACCAATAATGTTATTTCATTTATCTGTCTTCAAAACTGAAATTGAAATTATGTAAGCTTGGGAAGGATCTTTCAGGCTTATGTAATTTTTATGATCTTCAATATTTTCTATCTGTAATAAATCAAGAAACAAATTATTAGTGGTAATCATTGTTTCTATGTTTCTTTTAATATCTTCAACATTCATGGACTTATTCTTCTTCAAGTGTGTGAATATTACAAAACGTGGTGAGATAACAAAAATGAAGCGAATGAGACTTAAATTATATTTGAAAAATTACAGAATGAGAGATGAAAATTTCGTGAACTGATTGGATGCTGGCTCAGTGGTCTGGAGGTTAAGCATTCGCGTGCGAGGCCGATGGGTTCTCGGGTTCGAATCCCGTGGACAGGATCGTGGATGCGCACTGTTGAGGAGGTTCATATTAGGACAAAACGGCCATCGGGTGCTTTTAGGTTCTCCATGGTAGTCCATCTTTAATTGATTCATGAATTAAACTATTAGATCAAGTAAAAATCGACAGATTATTTTTATTCACATGTTTCATAATATAAACTCAAAACTGAGTAATATTTATAGCACACATGACAAGGGCTATCGTTACTTCGTAGCTTTAGGTCACAACCTGACTTTGGTTAGACAACCGTCGAAAACTAAGGAACTTTGAACAGCTGTTTATTCCTGGTATGGAACTGCACTTCAGCAGCGCACGTCCGCAACTCCACCAGTGGTTCAGCTAAGGACCGTGAAGATTTACATCGATTGCTAAACCTTCAATCTATGATTTGGTATGTAACGGTTTACATTTCTAATGTCAGACGAATCACCATTTTGAGAGACTAATATATCTATGACATCTATCTCATGTTCAACATGGATGAACTTTATTATTCGCAACTTTCCATTGGAACTCTATTGTTATTGTTTTGATCTTCTGCACATTTTCCATAAAATTCAGGAAGGTATAGAAGTAGTTTCATATGTCTCTCTTTATCTACGCTTGTCAGATAATAGTCTATATTTATAACGAAACACAACCTCCGAATATCAATGTTTGTTTACTTACTGTTTGGAGTATTTAGAGGTTTGTTATCGATGAACAAATATTTTTTGTCGATTCCTGATTATCCAAATGATGTTATTTCATGATGAAAGTTATCGCTAAATGATCAAAGACTTTTAAGAAGTCTCATAAGTTAATTATAATACAGTAGAGAATAATTACCCAACCTCCCTATTTCTGAGAACTTTTGAGGAAGCCGCTATAGAAAATTTTGGGTAAACGGCACAAAAACCCAAAACTTTCCCTAAATAGGGAGATTGGGTACAAATGACTAAATGTCATTTTTAAGCATATCTGAAACCACTGAATAATTGATAATTTTGTTCAGTTTAATACTAATCTATTCGCCATTTGATTTAAAAACTTGTTACGAAACGGAATAATATTTTACTACTTAATTTTATAGGGTTAATGCTCGTTATTAATATTATCATTGTAATAATGTTGAATTAGTTAGATGTGAAAATTTTCTAGTTACAGAATATTCTTCTGTGTACAAAGATAATTGAGAAACAAGGAAAATGAATGCGCAGCACGTGATGCATAAGTCACATAATATTACTAGAGTATTTCTTAGACTGACTTCATAATGGCTGATTTCATTTCAGCCTGCAACTTTTGTACACAACTTTACTAAAAACTAAAAATTTTAATTTTAGTATCAAACTACTTTATTAGGCTAGCAAGTAGATCACAATAATAAAAGATGGTCTAACTGAATGTTTGTTTAACTACGTATGTTTCCTGATGAAATAATTTGGAATTTTGGATGAAAACCAGCAATAAAATCAAGTGTCTGTTTGAATGGCAACTAACTAGAACCTCATGGTTCCCAAGGGAAATATTTGTTGAAAATAGTGACCCAGGTGAAAATTCGAGTAGACCTAACATTTTAGAGATCAACAACGTAGTAAACAATATTATGTTGCCCGATTCTTAATGTTTACCAAGTTGCAACGTGATCTCTAATAAAATAAAAACATAATGTATCATTATATACCTTACTAATATATGGTACGAGACAGGGGCTCATTTAATGAATGGCCATTTTGTTGCATGCAGCTTCTATATTTGACTAATTTGGGTTTATAGTTCTAGTTGTTTCACAAGCTAAATTAGTTTTGCAAGATACTTGCCGGCAAAATCTGGCATGGGACTCAGAGGTTCCCAGGGAATACTTTACGAGGTGGGATTGTTGGTTCAGAGGTATGAGGCACCTACGTGAACTGTTACTTCCCAGATATCTGATACCAGAATTGTACAAACTGACGGCTACTCAGATTCATTACTTTTCGATGCTTCGGAATTTGTATATAGTGTTGTGGCATATACTCGTTTTGAAGATGTCTCCCATCAAGCTCATTGTTCCCTTCTACTAGCTATGTCTAGGGTTGCCTCGCTGAAGCCTATAGCCATTCCTAGAATGGAATTAACAGCTTTTGTACTGTGTGCTAAGATTGAAAAACACGTGGAACAACAATCGCGTATCCCTAACTCTTGTTTTCACTCATTGGATGGATTTACAAATCGTACCTCGTTGTATAAGAAACACAACCAAAAGATTTGTGAGATTCGTGGGCAATAGATTAGCAACGATTCATACACAGTCTACACCTATCCTATGGAGATATGTTAAAAGTCAACAGAATCCTCAGGATCAGGCTTCGCGTGGATTGTCGTTAGATGATAGCATTAAGCTAAATGAGTGGTTTCACGGACCGAACAATTTATGTCAGAATGAAAGTGACTGACCAAATTTAGGTGAAGCAATGAACCTTGTTTTAGCCCATTTGTTTACAGAAAAACTAGCTGAAAGTCCCGCTGGGAATCATTTAGACCAGTTTAGTAATTGTATGATCAAGTTCAAAATGCTGACAATATTCGCTCTATGCAGACTGTTCGTCCACATTATGAGGATGAAATTGGACAATTGGATACAGGAGTACCTACCAACCGTTCAGGCGAGATCCAAGTGGTTGGACATGAGGATACA